TAAACAAATGGTTTGATTTTCAAAAATGCAGAGTGCTTGCCAATGGGAGTTGATAGGTGTTCTGTACTTTTGAAAAGTAGATATCTTACATAGAAGCTTAAGCTTTCATTTTTTAAACTCTTGGCTGGAAAGGTCCCAAACACTTTTTTTAAAAAAAAAAACACTGAAGTGATGTGAACTGATTTTATCTAACCTGCACAACAGTTCTCAGTGAATTGAAATGAAACTTTTCATCGGATTATATATGTCCAATTTTTTTCCTCAACTGTATCTTGTCACTTAAACTTTTCTGCATTACTAGACTGATGAAAACGCTCATTTTATCCATCCATCACATTTCATCATGTTAACATCTCAGCGCTGATCTCACATGAGCTTACAGGGAGAGTATAGAGACTTTTTCTCTCTCTTTTTGGGCAGTGGAAGTGAGAGAAAGCAAGGCCAACATTTTGGTTTTGGATGTAGTTCTCATTGAAGTCAGTTAGAAATGGATGTGCACATCCAAGGGATGGCTTTAGTCCTGGTACACAATAATCAACGTAAGCATATATTTATGTCCAACCCTGATCATATTTAACGTGGTTGGCACTTACAGTTAAAAAAATCTGGAAAAACACAACCTATGATGGATATAAATTGAAAATGTCAAAAGAGTGTCCTAATTTCCTTCTATTTAATTCACTGTTTTAAATATCTATTAGGTGCAAATAAAAAGTACATTTGAGCCTTTTTCCAGAAACTGTGCTAATAAAATACATGCCACCTTCAATAGATTGAATAATGATATTGTAGATTTCCTCATCTCCATGGAAAATGTGCATCAAACCTCATTCCCCAATCTCCAGTGGTAGAGTTTGAGGTTCACAGATTCCTAATTCTTGCTCTCTTTGCCCAGAATGAATATATAAGGCTATGTCTACACTTGCAGAGTTTTTGCGCTGTCAGTTTCACCGGTGATAGTGAACCAGTGAAAGAAAAGTGCTGGTTTGTGTACTCACTTACTTCCACAGGCGTCAGAGAATGTTCACATTTGCAGCACTTCCATCACTGATGAGAGCAGCGCACTGAGGGCAGCTATCCCACAGTGCAGCTCTCTCCATTTTGATGATAGGTCCTGTTGGAAGGGGAGGGGGTGATCGCGGGGCATCCTGGGTCCCTGCACAGCCTCCTCTCCCCAAACACTGATCAGCTCCAGTAGCTCAGCATTGCTCCAAGCAGGGGATCGTTTGCTCCATGGAACAGGCATTGTTACCTGGCCAGATGATAAGTGAGCGCTTGCCAAGAAAACAGGAAGGGGAGTTTCAAAGTTCCCGGAGCTTTACAGGGGGAAGGGTGGGATGTCTCTTTATCTAGCATCAGAGCAGCAGAGCTGCTGGCCAGAGTGGTCACCTAGGCACTGTGGGATATCCTCTGGAGCCGAAAAGCTCTGTAAACAGGAAGAATGTGTCTTCACTTGCACATCACCACAAAAGCATCACCGGTAAGAGCTGCACGCCTCTCATGGAGGTGGTTTTCTTTTTGTGGTGAAACTTCTGAGTTTCACCACAAATTTATTGACAAGTGTAGACGCTCCCATGGTTTTTGTGCAAAAAAGGGACTTTTTCTGCTTTAAATGGCATGTGTAGACGTGCCCTAAGTGAAGGAGAAATCTTGGTGATGTTGTAATATATACTATAGTTATTTCATTTGGGCAGCACTGGCTAAGAATGTGTCAGGATTTCCATTTCCATTATCATCACCTATTTCAGAAGGTTAATTTAAAGGAACTATGGGCATAATCTTCAAATGGGCAGTGAGACAAAAGCAGCTTTACATCACCTTGATATCCTTAACACTGTGAGGCCAACTGAAGACTGGTTTGGCCCTCTGGCAATAGTCAACTAGTCTTTAATCCAGTCAGAGAACACTGGTGCAGCACAACACTCCAGCCTCATTCCCAAGACAATTCTAATGCCAGAGCAATCCTCAGCTGACTGGGTAAACTGGTGTCTTTAAATCAACAGATCTAAGAAGCACTCTGGAAGGACAATATTGCTATGTTGCTCTGAGCATAGCACAGCAAAGACAATACCAGATCTCAATTAGAGATAGGCCTCCGCTATCCCCCAAAGTTCAGGATTGCTTAGGATCACGCTTTATAGGCAGACTCCTCTCTAATCTAAGAAATTGAAGTTAAGAGGACAGATGTCTGACTTTCTTCTTCTTGTAACCTTACTTATGGTGGTGTAATGTCAGTTTTCATGACTATAAATTGGATTGATAGGGCTAACACTTTATTCAAACCAATGGAATTTGAAGATGCAGCTGGTACATTCAGGGACAGTGCTTATGCATTTGATCAAGATGTAACTGGACATTTATTTAGCAGTCCAACAATTAATAGTGATAAATAGTCCAGTGAAGGGGGCAGAAATTATGGAAAATAATCTAAAAATTAGGATACTGTGAGCAAACAGGAAACTCAAGCAGAGTCACCGCATGCACAGAATAATTAACACATGGAATAAATGTCCATGGAAAGCTTTTGAATTGATGAGTACAAATGAGTTCAGGAGACACACAGATTGGTCCCAAAGGAAAGGATTGAGAGAAGTTGTAAAAAAAGCAGGAAAGTGGGATAAAGATCAATTTAAAAAAAAAAAAAAAAAAAAAGGCCTGTTCAGCAGATGGTCTTATACTGTGCTGGGAATGTCTTCTCTTCTTAAATTTAAAGTTAAAGCAAAAACTCAACACCCGTCTTTGCCCAGCAGCATGAGTTGCAAATAGAGCATCAGCTCTGGCTTTTGATTTCCTGGATTTTATCAGTTTGTGTCACACCAAACTTGCTTTTGCAATGTGTACGTTTACAACTCCCTTAGTATTTACCAGTGCGAAGATATGCTGATCCCACAGATAGAGCTAGATTATGCCTGACCCTATCAGAGTGCTTAGGAGAAGAGGGATCAACAAAGTGAATGGAGTACAAGGACTATGCAAATCTGATGCAGCCAAAGGTGGTAGACTCCCAAGAATAGGTGAAGATGAGGAAGTGATGTAGAGTAGCAGACTTCCTCTACCTACATTCCAAGAGACATTGTGCCTCCAGGCACAATTAAGCACATTTGTTCCAGCACTAAAGCAAGCACATGAGATTAAAGTTTGATTTTTCTTTTCTTTTCTCTGTACTCTCACCTGCAGCACACAACAGTTCTTCAAGAAATGGATCATTCACAAAACACTGATCTTGTAAAGGACTTTAAACCTCTATTTAAATCAAGTGGCAATTAATCAAATCAGCTTTGTTTCAGCTTTCTTACTAAAGACACCATATCTATGTGATAAGCAGTAGTGATCATAGTCCGTATGTATGTGACCTGAGGACCAGATGTTTCCTGGTTATAGAAGGATTCACAAATGGAAAAATAAGCATGACCAATCTGTTTATATAGTGTGTATCAATGGGTGTTAAACTGGCCATAAATCATCTGTCCCTTCTAAAGAAGAGATTGAATACTTTGGCTTGGATGATACTGAATCAAATCTAGCAGACAGATGGTTGAGTTAGTTTAGCTGAAGGTGGGAAGAGAATGTTTTCTTTCTGCACCTACTTGTTTTATTCTTTATTGCTTTGATGCTATAAAAAGTATCAATAGTACTCCAAAATCTTAGGGATAGAGCATTGGGTCCAGACCTTCTACACCCACTGCAGGTCAAGAAGGAAGTCTGTAGAGGTGGTTTTAAGATGTCTTTACATCCCTTCCAACTGTAGGATTGCCATGCTTTAAAACAGTCTCAAAGCATGATTTAGAGCAGCCCCAGGGTGATCTTCCGGGGATTACTTGAGTGCAGAGGAACTGCTTCTATGGCCTGGTCTACACTACACAGGCCAACGTAAGGCAGCTTACGTCAACCTAATTATGTCAATGTACACACTACAGCCTTGTCCCGCCAATGTAAGTGCCCCACTATGCTGACATAATATCTCTATAATATCTGTATTACTTACATTGGCTATTGGCTGTCTTGTCAATTTCATGGCTCTGCCCAGCTCCAGACTCCTCAGCTGGGCTGCTGCTGGGTCTCCACTCCAAGTTGGACTTCCACCTAGGCTCCCAACTTGGGCTGTCCTCAGGGCTCCCCGTTCCCCACAGGGAGCTCTGCCCCCTGGGGTCCCAGCTCCCTGCTCCCTTCTGGAAGCTCGGCTGCACTGAAGCTCCCAGCTCCTGGCAGGGAGCCCGGCTGCCTCTCCTCTCTTTCCCCCCCGCCCCAGCTTTAGGCTCCCCACCGGGAGCATGGCAGCTGACCAGACTCCAGGAATGGATCTCCCCACCAGAGGTGAGATGGTCTGGGTGGCTTTCTCCCGCTCCTGGCTGGTAGAGGGGAGGCAACAAGCCTGGGGGCAACTGGGCTCCTAGCAGGGAGCCTGATTTCTCAGCTCCCCATACTGCCCATCTTCAGTCAGTAGAAGTGCTCTGGTGAGGATACGCACCACCGACAGAAGGAGGGTGGCGTGGATATCAGCCACCGCAGTAATTATATAGGTCAATTTAAAACTGCAGGGTAGACATGCCCTATGTCTCCTTCACCCTAAGAATGCCCTCTCCATAGGAGGCCAGAAGCAGGGGAGATATAGGAACCATTATGCCCACCCTATACAACCTGAGAATTCCCCCATGCTGAGGGACTCATCAGGCAGCTGAATACATCAACTTTACAGCCTTTTGGTACCAGCAAATAAGCACAAAGCAGTTCCACCAGGGATCAGAATCTGGGCCTTATATGATAAATGTCTCAGAATGTAATCTCTTTGGAACAGCGTCTGTGTGGATTTGTACAGCAGCTTTTCAGCACTACTGAAGAAGAAGAAAAGGTAGCAATCCAAAGCAAGGAAGTTTGTTGGGGTAAACATTTGGCTACTGTATTGATTCTGGAATTTGCCCTATTTTTTTCCATTTCCAATGGGTATTTGATAAACCACCAAAAGGCTTTTTAATTAACTTTTTCTTTTTAAGACATCTTACCAGTGTGCTGCCATCAGTCCAGCGGAAGTCATGTTCAAACATCTTATCATTGAGGCCAATCCACTGGTAGTCATGCCCGACACCTAACAGGAAAGGAACCACAAAGATATTTTTATTAACTTTCCCATAAAAGGGAGAAAATTCATCAAAGAATATAAGGAATTTTCACAGAATGAATCAGACTTCCTGTTCTTAAATAGCTTTCACTAAACATGCAAACAAATATTTACAGGCTCTTTTTTAGCCTTTTTATTTTAATTCAGGAAATCTACAGAAATATAGTCTCTTACCTAATTGTTTTAAACTATTGCCTATCTTCCCTTTATCCTGCACATCCCAAAAGATCAGATTTGCTTTCTACCTAGCCATGTAGTTTAAATGTCAGGCAGACAATTAAATGGGAAAAAAAACCTGCCTCACCAGTTTACTATAATAAAATAAGTATTTTCTTTTCCTTAGTAATGTCAAAAGTTTTTCCGTGACATTTACAGGAGAGACGTGCCAAACTCTGTGGCAGAAAGTCAGAGACCTGCAGACTTGTCAGGAGTCACTGCCAACTGCACTAAGAGGGTATGTCTACACAGGATAAAAAACTCCTGGCTGGCCCAGATCAGCTGACTCAGGCTCTGGGACTTGGGCTCTGGGGGTGAAAAATCTCCGTGTAGATGTTTGGACCTGGGCTGGAGCCCGAGCTCTGGGACCCTGAGAGGGTGGAGGGTCCCAGAGCTCGGGCTCTAGCCTGAACCCGAATGTCTACACAGAGATTTTTAATTACACAGCCCGAGCCCTGCCAGCCCGAGTCAGCTGACCCAGGACAGTCATGGCCGTGCAATGCGTCTTTTATCCCTACATAGACGTACCATGAGAGCTCCAAAGTTTTCTTACAACATGATATTCAGGGACTGAATACATGACCCAAGCATTAGTACAATTAATGAGGACTATTAGAAAATAACCCTCTCCAAATATTTTAATCAATAGCATTACTCAGTTTGTGCAGGCAGCACCTGATGCTGTGAAGAGTACCACAGAGCTGAATCTGTCTTGTAATGTAACATGAAGTGACTGATGCTTTGTGCCTGTGAAACAGTATTTAAGATGGCCTGGAGAACGAGATTGTCTAAACAATGAGCCTAGAATAAAGTCTCCAGAATAAAGGGCTGAACTTCTTTGTCTTTTATTGTCTTTTTCTCAGGACCTAAAACTTTAGGAGTAAAAAGTAGATTTTCTTTGAAGATCAGGTAATGATTAATAAAAAATTAACAGCAAAAGGAATGGTCGAGAATATGGTGTCTTCCTTTTAAAAATCAAATGATGATGCATATTTTAGAAGGGAAATATGAAAACTATCCAGAGGTTTGGAGGGTGTTTTCTCCGCATATTTTACTAGCTTTATATATCCTCAATCCAGAGTTGCTCAGAGGAATCCTAATGGTACGTACGGTTCACAAATATCTGCTCTTCATGAGACAAGATGCTTGTCAGGTGGGCTCCCTGGAGACGACATTCTCTTTCAGCTGCATCCCATGTGCGGCGATGGGCAAAGTATTTGTAGCATTGTCCTTGGAACTTGTGCCAACCGTAATCACAAGTCTCTGTATCTGTGACAAGTAAACAAAAAACACCCCTAAAATATGCAGGAAATGCACACACTTGAGTTTTATGCAAGTGGACAGAGGATTCTGCTATTTAAAGGCTCAGGAAGACACACAACCTAAGCCCCACAGATGAAAAAAAATAATCATTGATCCTGTAATTCTTATTCAAGTCCTAGGTAGTTTTATTTACTAAATTTCACCACTGGTCATAAGGAAAATTATGCTTTGCTTGTTAATCTGGAGGTTTTTGGTGGGTATTATCACATATGCTAGATCTTGAATATCCCAAAAGGGCATTATTATCCCCTAACTCTGAAAGAATTAAACATAGGTGCTCTGCTTGGACATAAGATTGCAGTGGCGCTATACTTTTTATTTTATTTTTTTTTGCTTACTTCATCAAATAATTCTTTGAGTTACTCTGTTCCATTACTATGAAGGACTGTGGTTGAAAATGGCCATGGAGAAAAGTAACTGTCATTGTTCAGCTAGCAGATGCAAAGTTGAAGTGCTATCTCAGCAAAGATTAAGGTTGGCCAAAAAAAGGGAGTAGACTTAAGTAAACTTGAGGTATCAATTTCTAAAGACAGCTGTAAAGCTGGAATATAAAGTAATGAACTGCACATTGTCTGTGCTTGGATGAGGAGTGGTACTGATAAGAATACACTATAGATAGGAGCTCACAACAGCCAATATTTCAATTCAGCTAAAGAGAAATAAATGTGAGCTTTGGAATTGTAGCAGTTTCTAGGGTTGATGTCAACTACAGTGTCAAGCTAAGGCAGCCACAGACAGAACAGATGGTGTAAAATGTCCATATTTATTTTGGTTCTGTGCTTTCACTGTACAAAGTGATCACATGGAAAAATAGTTTTATAGTAAGAAGGGTATAGAAAGAGTGAACCAGCTCCTCGGGTTTGATGCAGGAAATGTCTTTGAGGAGGAGTTGGTTTCGGGAAAGGTGGTCCCAGCATGATTTAGTGAAATCTAAAGACTGCTCTGAGTTATGCCGGTTGGAATAGTACCACTTCACCAGCTGAGGATCACCAGAGCGTAGCATGCTCTCACCCCACATCTTTCCAAATGTATGAACATGCCCCTGGCTCAACCCCCCACTGACCCCCCATGGTCCCTCTGCCAGAAGGCACAGAGCCAGCTTTCCACCACCTAAGGATTCCCCCACACAGTTCTGCATCACTCCCAATGCAATGATGTAGAAGTTGTGTATAAATTACATTTATTTGGGGAACTTGGTGGGGAGGGAGATTGGGATTTTTGCTTAAAAGTCAATGGCATGATTTGACCCAAGGGACTCCAGCTCCATGTGAGGGAGCGGTAGCCAGATATTTATACCAAGTGTGCCAATTCCTTAACTAGCACATTCCTTAGCTTTTAACTGGAGGTGATGTGTCAAAGCAATTGCCATACTGCAGTAAAATACATGTACATTTTTATATTGGACAAGTCAAGCTATAAAGAAATTGCTCATACTTTAAAGAATCTCAGCTATGGAATATGTAATCTACAATACTGAGTTTTTTTTTCTAGCTCCAATGATGTAGGCACATGCAGCAGTTGGAAGTTAATCTCCACGATCTGGGCAGTTTTTAAGTTTGGTCTGTCTGCGGCTGTCTAGAGCTTTTGTTTAACCACACAGCACTGACTAATTGTGCTGTATTCTTCAGGGTGGATGCTTCAAATGTTATTACTCATCTTATTTAGGAGCCTCATCTCACAGAAAGGAAGTCAAATAACAACAAACAGATGTAACGCACAGAGAGAGGGCTCGGGGATTACGCAGAATTAGGCCATCCCAATCCAGTGACTATCCACCAGGGAAGCCAGCTAAATAGTGTTTGAGGGGGCAGTGAGGCTTCAACACAAGGGAGACTAAGTTCGAAATAGTAAGTAATATGAGGCCTTGACCTACCACCAATGCTAGAAACACACACTGTATCAAAATTCTTCTCTTTAGCCTAAGCAATTGTTATTAACCTTGAAGAAAAGAGGGACTGTCATTTGTTTACCAGCCTCAGAAGATCAGGGTGAATATTTTCCCCAGAAAACTAAGGCTTTGCCTACAATGGGATTTCAGCCACCAGTGAGATTGTGCCAATGCAAACGCCTAACGGAGACACGGGCATTTCAAACCAGGATAGACTGCAAGGTTGCTGCATTGCTGTAAATGGTGCCTATGCTAGAAGCCTGGACTGGTGCAGCTAAGCAGACACTGAAATCCCACTGTAGTTAAGGCCTTAGTGACAGCATTTGGTAAATTAGGTTTTTCTTTGTTTGTATCACTATATAGTTTTATTTTTATATATATATATATATATATATATATATAAAATTATTCTTTCAGTAAGTAAGCAAGCTATAGGAAATGCAAACCAACCTAACCAAAAAGCAATGAAATACGTAGAGCCTGATTCATCACTGCATTGCATAGAGTTGAATCAGTCCCTTATTCTATTGCCAATGAGCATATCTCCCATTGACACTGCTGTGAGAGATACACATGTGTATTAGCAGGAGAGCTATATAACGGCTTATGCCTTTACTGCACATGGGAGTCTAGCGGCAGCAACGGCAGTACGTTTCCAATCTGATCTGTGCCCACTTGTGAACAATTGATGTGGGAGGACTTAGCCAGACTACATTGCATGCATACGCTTTATTTTCTGGAAGGTAATCACAGTTTTCTGTAAGCTGATCTCAAAATGTGTTGGAAAGACTGAAACACTGCTTGCTATGTTTATGGTGTTTTAAAAGTTGCCTTGTTTGTCCAAAGGTTTATTATAATTTAGAGGTTTGTTTTCAGAGATGTGTGCCAGGAGTTACCCACACGCTTCTGTTCCTCATAACAGCAATTGTAGCTGTATAACTCTCCAAACACTGCATTAAAAATGTGCCCCTTCGGTAAAGTATATGGGCAGGTAGAGCTTTTTCAACAGCAGCAATCGGCTGCTGCCAGTAGCTGCCATGTCTTCAAACAAATTCCATAAGAGACTTAAGAAACCAAAAGCTGAAGCACAGATACTAGAATGTAAAGTGACTTGCTCAGCTGTGAACTCTCTCAGTGTCTCTGGATTCAGGTAATGAATGAAAATCAGAGTCCCATTAGACCAGACATCTCAAAGTGAAGCTGCATCTCTAGTAAATATTCAAATCCCCCCAGCTGTGAGATATAAGCTAGAAACTGCTTGTTTCCAAAGAGAATCCTTGCAATAAACCTTTCTCCACCATTCTGCTTTCCCAAGGTACTGCAACTCGGAGAAAAAAGTGAGTCAGCTGAGGAAACAGTAATCACAAACATTTGGACAGGGATCTCAGTTTTGAAAAGCAATGTTGCTGATAATGAAGAAAACATTTGTTTTGCTTTGGGAACTTGGAAAGAAAAAGAAAAAGTCTTGTTGTATTACCCCAGTGAGGGATGTCTACTAACAAACGCATATGTGCCATTTTGGCAATCCGTGAGCACAGCTGCATTCAGTAAACAGGATAAGCTATGCGAGTGTCTGCAGAGATTCAGCAGTAGGGAAGCCAAACTTTGCTTTAAGTTTAAAACAAAAATGCAGCACCTTGAGAGCAGGTGGACCGCAGTCAGAATAGCAGAGCGGGAAAGAGATGAAACAAAAGGAAACTTTAGCCAGAGCACGAAAGTGCGGGAGAAGCAAATAGCAAATCTGTTCTTTCTGCTAGACACTCCAGGACCATATTCCAGAGGATAATAGCCAAATTATGGGCCTTCTTCACCACATTATATGGTATCCTACTACCCAAATACTCCCACTGATATCAATGGGGCTATTTGTGGAGTAAGGTACTTCTCAACCTGAGTAAGGATAGCTCAATATTGAGAAATCATCATGGGCTACATTATGATGCACTTACTTACACTGAATATTAACTTATCCTATGACTAGTCCCACTAACTTCTGGAGAACTGTTCCTCATTGTGAGGAAGGTTATAATAGTGTAGCCCAATAAAACATAGCACTTGCACAGCAGCACTTTATATGTTATAAACGAAAGACCCCAGGTCATGAGCTCATTTGTCTAGACACACCAACTGATTTCCCACCAACTTTACACTGATATAACTCCCTAGACTTACTGCCAACTTATGTGGCAAGTGAGTGGGTTCAGATCCACTGCCTCAGTCTGCAGTCACACATTTCTTGGATATTTTGCATTGAAAAGTGACAAACAAAAAACTATTTGCTCTGATAACCAGGTACTTTACACAGATATAGTTGTATTTTGAAAAGTTGGGGAGTATGGGTAAAAAAACAAAATAAGTGACAGAAAGGGATATTTATAAAAGAGAGCAGTAGTTTAGTTTGAATTGGAAACAATATTGTCTCTCTGAATTATTCCTTTAGTTTATAGAAAGGATGGTATCTTGATTTTTTTATGCCTGACAACTTTCTCTCACAGTATTCAAGAAGAAGTTCTTGGCCCAGATTCTCTGATTAACTATGTTTCAATTTGGTGAGACAGAGGAAGATGGTTGTCAGGAGTCAGTTATAGTTCACTGGTTCCCAGGATGGATCTGTTCCACCCTAGGCCCCAGCATAGGTGAGAGTACCCAGGAGGGTGCTCATCCTTCACCAGCTGGCAAAGGTCCCTAAAGGACTATACATCTGCTGAGCACAGCCAGAGTGTATGAGCTCTGGCCATACTATCTCCCTAACCCTAACATGCCCAAAATTGTGACTGAGTGGGGCAGGAACACACACCACACCAGCTGAGAGTTCCCTCACCCTGGGGGAATTAGCAGCTGGTCATATCTGGCTGCTTTCTGATCTCTGACTCCCTTTGTCTCCTATCTTCAGGCATGATTTTCAGAAGTACTGTGCACTCAGCTCCCATTAACTACAGTGAGATTGTGGATGCTCAGCACTTCTGGCTAAAGGGCCCTTAATCTTTATTTTGAAAACATGAATAGGATGTATTGCAAAATAAAATGCAAATAACGAAACAATGTTTGCATGCTCACTCACACCCTTTCTGAGGCATTGAGGTGACATGTTCTGTCATTCTGGCTGTGTTTTCAATCTAGCAAAGTCAGGGTTGATGCCGTGAAATAAAGACGCCTTGCCAGACAACTGTGTCTGAATTGCCAATACAGTTTTATTTTGTCTGGTGAAATGGAAATTTGGCACTGAACATTTTTCCCAAGTCCCAAACCACTGCAGGACTTTAAGTGGAGGAAATTTAAATTCCAAAGCTGAGTGAGCAGAGGTCTGTTTCTCATTGACAAACTAGGAAATGTTCCCATTAACCACCTAAAATGTATTCTCAGGTCGGTCATAAAATGCAAATTAAAGCTACCATGATGCTGAAGGCCATTCAGTACTATGGATTTGCTGGTGGGGGGAGCGGGGGAAGAGAACATTTATTCCTTCTGTTATAAAAACATTGTCAAATTCTAGTCTTAGAGAACAGATTCAGAAGGTCTTTCAAACAGTGGGCTACGCCAGACTACTGAAAAGTTGAATTGTGATGAGAGCTGGAGCTAGTCATTCTTCAGACGTTTCAGCTCTAACAAACAAGCTCCTTCCCTTTAGGCTCGCTTGGAAAAACTGCATTTCACCCAATAGGCTCAGGATGAAAGGTAAGCCTGAAACTGACAACATTCATGCAACTATATGTAGAGATCTACTTGGCTGATCTGTGAGTGAAACCAGTCAGTGACAGAAAAAGAGGAAGAAAGCTATTTTTGTTAACTTGGAAAAAAGCGCACCTTTAAGCACCATTTCTTTTTCTCTTGAAAACAAAATCTGCCTTCATTGCTTGTGGTCTCTGTTGTTCGATACTCTTCTGGCAAATTTACAGTTTGTTTGTTTCTGTCCTGCTGTGCATTTGCTACCCTTCTCATGCTGGTTTTGTTCTAAAATTTGATCATGGGTGAAGTGAATATATAGTAAAGAAACACTTGACATTGTTGAAATAGTCATGCACAACCTGCAGAGATGTGCTGGAGGGTTGTTTTTGTTTTGTTTTTTTTGGTTCAACTGGATATTAGAACCTCCAGAATTCCTAAAAGAAACCTGGAATGGGCGAGCAACAAGTGCCACTGCTTGCAAACGGACACATGGATCACCTTTAAAGCCTTCACAACATTGTTCTGCCCTACTGATCTATTCTTGCATCCAATCATGCTTCTCCTTGATGCCTCTTCTGATCCACCTATTCATTAATTTCTCCCACAAACACCACAAGTTGCTTCTATCCTGCCTCTAGTACAAGGAATGTTCTCCTAATTACTCCAAAGAGAGCTAGATGGGGATGGATGGGGTAGACAGCAGAGCCATGGCCAGCCATGCAGGTGGTGGTATGCTGCACCCTTTAAAGCAGTGTAGCAGCTTGTGCATTTCCCGGTATACTGGAGAGTTCCAGGAGGCATTCTGCTCCTCTTTAGTGAGGGGCAGTTCTGTAGCACCACCAATGGGGCAATACAGCCCTTAGCAAACCACAAGCAGAACAGATTTTGGGTACTACAGAAGGAGCAGCCAAACTGCATGAGATCAGCATATTGCAGTTTCTTTAGTGAACTGGAGTAATTAGGATTGCATGCCCTGAGGAGGCTAAAACCAGACTCCAAAAGATGGTCATATGACATTCGTAATAGCAGAACCATAAACAGAGACTGAAATTACCTCTCCTGGTTGGATATAACAATGATCATAAGCAAATGGGAAAGAGAATGGAGGATCAAGAAACACAAGGGAGAGTTTACAAAAGCAAACACACCCATAAGAATAGCCTATTCCTGATGTCTTTGCTCATATAAATGCTAATGGGAGTTTTGCCTACTTGATGACTACACAGTGGGCTCTGGCTAGTCACAAATTGAAAAAAAAAAAGGTATTTGTTACCTTGTTCGCAAAGAGCACCTGCATAACTTGGCAGACAGAGACAAGTAAATAGATTGAGACCATCAATACATGTGGCTCCATTCCGGCAAGGATTGGACTGGCATTCATCAACATCTATATAAAAATGTAAAAGAGTATTTAAAATATATCCACCTCCTTAAAGGGAAACAGTGTTTACCCTTATTCAGAATTAGTACTAAGTACAATTCCACTCATGAAGGATAAAGCATTGCAAAAGAGACTGCATACCTGCTTTTTTCATATGAGAATTATGACTTCTACATACAAAATAACCTCAGAAAAGCTATAGATGCTGAACAACAATTTCACATGTACATGCTTTTGAATCCTGCTGTGTGACTCCTGGGTTAATTTCTGTAATCTGTATCTTCATTTCCTAGCTATCACTCCTTGTGTACCTCTGAAAGAAGATACATTGTACTGTATCTTTTCTTCAGCTGGTTAATTATCTCTGTGAAGAGTATAACCTTCTCTAGACTGTGACCATGGTACACAAGTCTTATCTAACAACATAAACAGTGCTTCTAGTTTTTCACTGTAAAACTGCAAGCATTAGCATCTTATTGTATTGTTTATCCATTCCTTCATGTCATGCTTTCTGCATGATAGGGGCAAAGCTTTTTAAAGGCATTCTCACTGTTTATTATTAGGTGTCTTGATTGATGATAATCTTCATAGAGAGATAGAGGAGACCTTTACTGGACTTATGATCCTGAGGCAAACAAAAGGTTCCTCTCTGCTAATCAAAATATTAGCACGTGGTATTAAAATACCCAGACATCTCCAATTTCTTTCTGTACAGTAGTGTCTCCTGACCATCTAGTATGAAGAATTTGTGAGTTTGAGCATGAGAGTGAGTTGTGAGACAGATAGGTCTGTATCTACAAATTGAACCTACAACTGTAATTTTAAAAGAAAATTTACTCTGGCACAGCTAAAGTTTAAACTTTCACCCAGATTTTGTGCATCAAAACTCTTGTTCAAAGTTGAATTGCTGATAGCCATTGAGTATCAAAATATAAAAAGGGTATTTTTATTTGACAACAGTGCTTAATGAATAGTTTCACAAGCACTTAAAACAGTCCCAGTTTAAACAACCTCACTGTCTAAAAGATCACACATACATATCATATAGGTTGGAAGTATGTGTTTAAATCCTGAAAAACTGTTACTTTCACCAGATTTTTGCTTGCTAGTTAAATGTAACAAGCTGTGTTATCCTGGGTTGTACTGGAATGTCTCATGTAGCCATATGTTGCGGTGGAGAGAGATTGGACATCAGATCCATTGTATAGTCTGGGCAAGCTCTCTTAATTGGCATCAGAGTTGTCTAAATATTGATTTCAACCTGGAACTGATTTCTCCCTGCCCACATCTGCTATTTGGCTGGTCAAATATCAGCCATCATTAATATAGATAATGCCCTTTTATTTGGGGGATTGAGGATTAAATAAAGTTTACCACCTTCCTGAACCATTAGAAAAAGTTTATAAGAATTTACTGGTTTATTCAAAAGGGTTTAATCAATATGATAATTAGATTATGCTGATGATTTGATATTAACGCACTTCATTTTGATTTGATTTATGTATGTATTTTATGTCTTTTTTATTTTGGTTAATAAATTGGACACAATTTGAACATTACCCTCTACAGAAGTAGGTAGGTAGGGTGTGTGTGCGTGTGTGTGCGCGCGCACACACGCCAGGCGGAGATGGCAGGCAAAGAGGAGCAGGTGTTTCTTTCTCAGCCTCTCTCTGCCTGGATCAAGTCCAGCTACAGAATCTTTCAAAGCCCCAGCATCTGTCAGTGTAATGATAAATAATTCTGCTTCCAAATCTAATATATGAAATGTTGTTTTTCTAGTCAATCTGCAGACAATCCAGTACAAGAAAAGCTTTCAGGTTGGCATCATCTTACCCAATTCACACTGCTCGCCACTGAAACCTGGCATACATGTGCAGATGTAGTAAGAGCCACGTGGATAACAGGTGCCCCCATGAAGGCAGGGATTACTTTTGCAGGGATCTTGACCTGTGATATGAGTTAAAGAAAGAAAAATTGATACATTGTCTAAAATACTTGGTTAGTTGTTGCTTCTTTTAAGGAAGAAAGGTATTTCCTTATTTCTGCTTTGATGCTTTACTGCAGTTAAAGATTAAACCATTTTTAAAAGTTCTGTACTACCTGGAGATGTCATTTTCAATCACCATAATTTTCAGCCTTACCAATAACACTATATTCACGACAGAACAATAACTCATTTTCAGAGATGTTTTATGTTTTTAAAATGACACTTTGTACTACTCCTGGCAGTTGAAATATTCTATTGAGGATTTAGTTGGCATGACATGGCAATTAATTATAACCCAAAACAGTTAAACATATGTGCACAGTGAATGGAAAATGTATTCTTTTGAATGGGGTTAGTTCATATGGAATGGTTGGGTACCCAGAACATGCACCTTTTTAGCATACTGACTTGTTGCTGTCATTTTGGAAGGTCATACTTAACCATTTACTGCCCAGACACTCTTATTTCTTTGAAAGAATCTTTTCCTAATTAATATTCTTTCCCCAAATCATGCCCAAATTGTCTTACTGTAAAACATACTTTTAGAAAACAAACCTAGTAACTGTATACGAGACTAAAGCAAAATATTTAGATAAAAAACTTACCTGCCATGAAATCCCAACATTTATTGGAGTCATCAGTTTAATACTGTTTTCTTACAGAGTGTAGATGTGTTCTACTGATCTTTATTTGAACTCAGTTCAAACTTAAACATATGTACATGGTATAGGCAAATAGGAACAATCACTGATACATATATTCATACAAAAGGTACCACTCTACATATCACCTGTGTTTTTTGCACTCTTAAGCATTCAGTAAACCAATTAATACAGTGCTTCTGACCTGCAAGAAGGAAGCCATGGCTATATTGGGAGTCTAAGAGAGCAGAAGTGGGATATGAAGCAAAAGGTCCTATTTTAATCCAATTTGATTCAAAGACATGAGCAAATGTTTGAGACATTGTTTACATTTTCCAAATTAGTTTGCTTGTCCTTTATGGTATATAAGACACAATCCAAAGTCTTTCTACTGAGTTCAATTAGTTACCCAAACTGTTTGAAAAAATTATCAAAAACTAGGATATTTGACCACCTTTAAAATATTAGTCTTCAACATGCCAGCCATATACAGGTAAATGATGAATAGTAGCTATTGTACATAGAAATCATTCTATCGGTATAGCTTGTGTTATGCCAAATGCTGTCCAAGCCAAAGATCTTTGATTTATATTTATAGCAGACGGAAGCTGTATCAAACAGTCAGATTGCTGAATAGACGACTATTATTCAATAGCTGAGTTTTTTAAAAACCTCAAACTTCAGCCAGTCTTGAGACTAATCCTGTATATATTTTTTAAACTTGTATTCTGGATAAGCCTGTCTGCAATTACTTGACGTGTTCACTAGGTTTGTTCTCCAAATAAATTGGAATATTCCATGAAAGTCACAATAATTGTACATTGCAATTGTCATGCTAACGCAACAACATTCATCAGATAAATTAATGATATCTACATATCCACTAGGAACATGAAAATAAAGTAACCACAACTGGATACTGTGCTAGGATCAATATTCCTTTTCTTCTATAATGGTCTCTCATCACCTCAGATCTGAACCAAAACTTATTGATGCAAATGGAAGGTCATTTATGAATTAGCGAGCCCCCTAGTTTTAGATCAGCCCCCTAGTTTTCTTTGAACTTGTACTCAGTAGGCTTCACCATTGTATTGATTTCAGCATTATGTAATGCTTTTAAGTGTATTATCTTCATTGCCTTCCAAATGTAGTTTGATTATCATATCTCATACACAAGCATATGTTTGCTAACACCTAGCATTTTAGTATAAAATAAAGTCTTCAAGAGAAAATAAAGAACAAATTAAATGTTTACCGGTAACAAAAGAAGTTTATATGGTATTTATCAAATTGGGATCTTACCTGGTATTTGGACTGCTGTGCCTTCAACTGAATCTCCACTGTTGCCAATCAGGAAATCTGATCCATTAGTAATGTCCAGAAGGAAAAATGATGAAGTTGCAAGTTCAGTAGTGCTTATGTCCTCTGTGCTTATTGTTGTCTGTTTATTATACTCAGGAATGTTTTCAGGGGCTGTAATTTTTGTTGCAATGTCAGAAGAAATTGTTGTGGACTGCTTCTGTACTACCACAGTTGTTTGTGTCTCCAGGCTTATATCCAGAGATGGTGAAGATGAAGATAACATTGTAACAGTTGCCTGGCCAGGCTTAAATATTCCACCTGCTATACTTTCATGTGGCACTGAAGCTGGTGTGGTGTATAGCCTTGGCAAAGCTCCCTCAGTGCTGCTTTCATCTACTTGATTGAGATCTTTCACTTTCTCTGTAGAGGTTTCATCTTCTGTGCTAACTTCTGGAATATCTGTGTTTACTGTTTCTCCAGAATGTATAAAAGCTGTTGGTATGACATATTTTGAGAGAGGATCTTCAGAAATGGTTGCTAGTTCTTCAGTAATCAATTCTATTATGGAAGTTTCTTTCTCCTTTGTTCTGTCTGTTATCTGTCCACTAATATCAGGAGTACTTTCAACAGATGTGCTTTCTGATTCAGGTTCAGAAGAAGAGTCTAGTGGAGACACTGTTTTAGTGGACAGCACTTTGGTGGGTGGTTTGTAAGTCACTGCAACATCAGAACTAATTTCTTTGAAGGTTTGTCCTGATGTTTGATTAGACTTGTCTGAATCAGTTGATGACAAAGTATTTGGAATGATTACTTCAGGGTATTCTGATACTTCATTAACCAAGTGGACAGTTACTGGAGATTTTGGCATTTGAGTTACAGGAAAAAGTTTGGCTGGATCGGTTTCTTCAGATTCTGTTGAAGTGGCTTTTGTTTCTGTGTAAACTGTATGATGTTTTACTTCACTTATATTAGGTGACTCTGTTAAGTTTTGGGTTACAAGTCGTGAGGTAACAATACTTACATCAGACATGTTTGCTGTCAAAGCCTGTTCTGTCTCAGTAGGTAAGTCAGGTCTAAAGGAAGGAAACAAAGGCTTCCCCTCATCAGGCTCTTCTTGTTCCATTCCCGAATACCCAGAGGTAGAGACTATTTCATTTTGATCTGCTATCGCTTGGTTGTCTGACAAAGTACTTGATTCGGAGAGGCCTTCTGTTTTATTTTCTGGTGCTACATGTCTAGTTTCAAATGGAGATTCTTTGGCCTCTTCGCTGACTCGGGGGGGCACACTAGGGCTGGCCATTGATGATATTGTTGGAAGCAAAATATCCAGTTCAGAGAATTCACCAATGATGGGAGTTTCCATTGTGAACTGCATGACATCCCCTGAACCAAAATCCTTATAATCTGATCTGGGTCTGTTTTCAGCTGTTACTGATTCACTATTTATTGACTTACTGGAAATAGTCATGGAAAGATTATCACCAGATCCATATGATTTCTCTTCAGCTGTAGAAAGATTAGATGTTAAATCATACTCCACTTCTTCAACTTTCATGCTATCATTATTGCCATGTGTTGAATGAGTCTCTGTATCTGGAGTTGTCTGCACACTTAGTATATCTTCATGCATTGGTTTAGAATGATCCACATCTATGATTGTTGTTTCATCTGATGTGATTCCTAGTCGTACTTCAATTAGTGTGATCTCATTAAAAGCAGAAACATTCCCTGTAACATTTCTGAAGTCATCAAGCTTTGGGAGGACTTTGTTTTCTATCCTTGTATCATTTATTAAACTCTCACCTGTAAATGTCTTTGGTTGAACACTAGTCGGGCTTGGTAACATCTTTTTTTCTTCTGTGTGGGTGGAAAATAACACTGAAACAGTTTGTGATCCATTTAATGCTGTCTCTGTGCTCAGTTCTTCAGAATAGTTTTCCTCATGAGCATGAGGAGCAACTGTTATTTCCAGATTTCGCAAATGGGTAGTAGATACATCTGGGTGAAATGACCCCACAATGTCCACCCAGCCAGATCCTTCTCCAGAACTTTCATATAGTGGTGTGGGAGGTATTTTTGGTGTTGATGTTGCAAGTGTTTCCTCTGTTCCAAGACGAGGAGTTCCATTAAAGAATATAGAAGCAGCAGTTATATTTTCATTAGTCATCAATTGTGAAGTTTCCTCTTGAGTAACAACTCGATCAGTAGCAGCTGGTGCTCCGTATGTTTCATTTTCTTCTACCCAATGAAAAGTTTCTTGTTTGTGAGAGTCTTCAGTGATTAAAAAAGAATGGGATGTCTCTTTTGTGGTAGCTTCTTTATTACTGAAGTTCCTAGAACTTTCTTCAGCTAAAGCGGAAGTACTAGTGGCCATTTTCTCTGTTGTTTTGGAAACTGCCTCAGTTATAGAACTGAATAGCCTGAGTTCTTCACTGGAATCCTTGTTTGATTCAGTCTGACCACTTTCAAATTCTTGGGCTTTGTCAATGGAAAGTCTTGGTCCCACACTTTCAGGATGAAATGTTTCAGGACTTAAAGTACTTGTGATTTCTTTTATAGTCACAAAATTCAGTGGCTCTACTGATGGAACACTAATAAGTTCATCTCCTGATCCTTCTCCTGAAAACAATGAATCACTACTGATCTCTTTATTAGTTGGCTCGTCACCTTTGGGGATCAGAAGTGATCCGTGAATGTCTTCTGTAGGGAAAATATTTTGTTCCAAGTCTTTTTCTTTCTTTGTAAGTTTAGCTAGCAAGCTTATATCTTTGCTTTCAAGTTTTATGGACTCAGTTACTAGAGTAGTATCAACAGATTTAGTGCCAGAAATGATCTCCAATTTATTTTCTTCTGAATACGGACTAACTGTGGGAACAACTAAAATTTCAAGTTGTTCTAGGATAGATTCTGTACTTTTAATGACAGGATATTTTGTTGTTATTCCAGATGGTTCTACAACTTTTTGTGACGTTTCTGCAGAAATATTCTGCTCAGAATGTATATCTTCTTCCAAAGGAAGATTTATAGCAAAACTTCTTGTTACGGATTCAATAGGCATTTGCTCTTCTATCTGTACCTCAGTGATGACTTTTCTTGCAATTTCAGTTCTAACTGTGCTGACTTCACCTTTGGTACTCATGACTAATTTTGCAGACTCAACAGCAAAGGAATAATCCACAGATGGTGAACTGATAATTTCTCTTTCATCTTCTGTTGCTTGTGTTTCTGGTCTTCTAACTGCTGAATGTAGTGAAGCTGTAGTTTTTGTAAAAGACTCAATGACAGAATCCACTTCTCCAGAACCCTGATCAATTAATGGGAAATTAGTACCAAGTACTTTTTCTGTAGAACCATCTGGCACTGGTACCATGGTACCACTCTCATCTCTGGATTCTTCTCCAGAGCCTACCTCAATAAGGATAATGTTCTCTGCTGAGATGGTTGGCGAGCTGTCTTTTCCACTTTCACTTTCTGTAGATTCAGTTACTGTCTTTATACTGCTGACAGCATGTGTCGCAATGGTGTCAGGAGAAATGATTTTAACAACAGACTCCACAGAAGAGGTGACCCCAGAGTTTTCTAAGTATTTAGTTTGCTCTTCTGTTGCAATATGAGTTGTCATCTCTTTTCTAGATTGAGGAAAAGATTTTTCTTGAGAAGGAAGAGTTGTAATCAAATAATATGATTCTGTTTCATGTTTTTGTTCTCCTAGCTTACCTGTACTAAAAATGTCCTTAGATACCTGCCTTCCTATTCCAGCTTCCTTAGTTGAGTCATCTGACTCAGTACTTAACACTGTCTTTGTTGCTTCAACGGTTGTTGTATATTCCACAGATGAAGTATCTGTGCTGTAGACATCTCTTTCCTGCTTTTTCATTTGTGTTTCAATGTCCGTAGTCACAGGCTCCAATAGAACTGAAATAATGGCAGTAGAATCAATGATAACATCTCTTTCTCCAGAACCTAGATCAATAAATGGGGGATCAGTACTTACCACTCTTCTTGTGACACCCCCTGAAATTATGTCTCCAATGGTTTTCCTAGTGTATATTGGTTCTTCCCCAGATCCTTCATCTATAAAAAGGCTTTTCTCTGTGGAGAAAGGAGCAACAGTAAACTCTTTGCTTTCAGGCCATGTGGAATCTGTCATTGGTATTGTTTTGCTGAGAGTAGTGGATTCCTGATCTACAATTCCAATTCTGTTACTAGGGCTTTCCTGTCTATCACTGAATACTAACTTTCCTATCTCAACAGTAGATGAATGTTCCTTAGTTGAAGCAGCAGTGCTCTGTGCTTCTTTTTCATCTTCTTTCATTTTCATTTCTGTTCCAGTAGCACTGCTAACTCCTTTTTCGGTAACCAACCCAGTAACAGATGTGGTGGTAGCAGTTTCTTCAGAACTTTGGTCAAAAACAAAAGTAGTGCTAGTTTCCTTATGCAAAGAAATGGTGGTTCCTGAAACAGTGGCAGTAATTTCTGTTGTCAGCAGTTTGCCAGACTCTAAGAAAGTTTCTTCTACTGAAATCTTTTCAGTAACTACAGTCTCTGTCACCATAGCTGAAGTTTTAGAAACATCTTCCTCTTCTACATCTCCAGAGCCTTCTGGTATTATAAATGCAATAGGACTTTCCACAGACTTTACTATATGGCTTCTTCTTGTTGTTTCTACAAGGGTTTCCAGTGGGGGAAGTTTATCATACTTAATAGTTGATTTATAATCATCTCTTAGAATAGAGTTTTCCTTTTCTGGCATATGGTCTTTTATGTCTACAGTAGCGATATCAGACACTGGACTGGGAGCAGAAGTTGCAGCAGAACTTTTTTCTGCATGTTCTTTTATTGTTGTTTTCCCCATTTCTGAAAAGACAAGACCAGGGAACTCAGGGTCAATGGCAGCATCTCCAGAAGATTCTATAGTAATCAAAGGCAAGGTTTTGGGGTCTTTAGTTGAGCTTTGCTGAAATTCAGTTCCATTATGTTTTAAGGTCTCTAAAGTTTCTGATGAAGATTGCCCATATACAGACGTTACCTCAGATTTATCTGTAGTGGCAAATTCCAATTCACTACTTAAAACAGGTTCCAACAGTGCAACATCTGCTGTAGGTTGTTGTGTAACTTCAAATGCCCCTTTTATTTCTCTAGATACACCTGGTTGCATTGTACCAGAGGCCTCATTTTCAGATATTATGGTGTTAGTTTCATTGATTTGTGAAAATTTGACATTTTTGGAATGTGTAACACTTTCAATTTGGTCACTTCTTGCTTCTTCAGCTTTTGTGTCTTTAGGTGCACTGGTCACCTGTTTCTTTCCATTGATGAACTGCAATGCTGGAGGAGTTGTAACATCAGTAGTATTTTCACAATCTTCATCTTCTTCAGAGTCAAAAATTGGAAATAAAGGTTCCATTAAGATTTCAATAGGGTACTCAGAAGACTCTTGCTCAGGGCCTGAGGTATAAGGTTCAGCCTGTAGTGAGTCTGCATCTATGAAGGATTCATCTATTGTGTGTGGATGTATTTTGAAATCAAGTCCATGCAATAGATCTGCAAAAAGAAAGAGCTTTTCACAATCCTTAAGTGACAAGTGTGGCAATGCATTACATTAGCCATAGACAGCACAAACAATTTATCATAGCAAAAATAAATGCATTTCAAATTAAATAAATTAAATATAGTATGTTATTTTATTAACACAATAAGTTAAATATAACCTGTTTTAAAAACTGCACACTTGCTTTACCAGTTCAAATGTTTTTGTACACAGAGCTCACCAATTTTTAAATACCATTGATGGTCATAAAACACGCGTGTTTAGTCACAGAAATAGCCTTATGCTGACTTCTCCTTCAGTAGATTTACACTATTCTAAACAGATGTAAAGGGGGCAGAGAAAAAAATCAGTTTTAGATAGAAGAAGCTATCAGCACTGCTCAACTGCAACAATTACTTCTGTGGATTTGTGGCATAAACTAATCTTCCTTAGCAACTGAGGTGAAACCTCCCATGTTCTTAAAAAAAAAAAAAAAAAAAAAGTAAAGTGCATGTCTTCCCAACCATGCTAGCTCAAATGAAAGTAATTGCTTCAAGACTATAAGAGACACTCTGCTCTGTACTCTTGACCATTAGGTTAGTAAATAATATGTCACTACTCAGGTGCATTATGGCTATTGTGAAAATATATTAAATAATAAATAATATATAAAAATATATTGTATGCAAAAATGATGCCATAGTACAGATACATTTATTTAATTCAATGAGATTTGATAAATGCCAATTAATTTTTTTCTATGCTTATATCTTGAATAGTATCACTGTTTACATATAGTGCAAAAAAATAATGTTTTTCTTTAGGGCAATTCAACAAATATTGAGATGGAGATTTCCAAACGCTTGTAAGAAATTTAGGTATAGAAATCTCATTGAATTCCAGTGGGATCTATTCTCCTAAATTCTTTCAGTGTTTTTGAAAATCTCCCCCAACATGTACACTTTATCTCAGATCTTCTGGTCTATAGGATGCATGCCACCTTCAGATAACCAAGAGCTATAAGCTCTCTTTGTCCTAGACTTTGCCTTATAGAACTCTTTGCTCCACTGACTTGTAGCCAGAAAGTTTTGTGCTGCTGTACACAACTTTTAATCCACAAATTTCTCTTACATGTAATTCTAGGTAAATAAGATAGACCAGATCTTAGCTGGTGTAAATTGAGGTAGCCAATGGAGCTGCACCTGTTTACACCAGCAGAGAATCCGGCCTGATACACCTGGCTTCTCCTCTTTAGCATTATCAGATAATGCTACTCACCCTATGGTCCTGAAAAGCTAAATTAAAGGAAAGATTCTCTTTCTGCTATATACACAGTGAATGACATAGTACAGTAACTCCTCATTTAACATTGTAGTTATGTTCCTGAAAAATGTGACTTTAAACTAAATGATGTTCAGTGAATCCAATTTCCCCATAAGAATTAATGTAAATGGGGTGGGGGAGTTAGGTTCCAGGGAATTTTTTTTTCGCCAGATAAAAGACATTATGTGCAGTTTGACTCTCAGCTGTGACTAGGTAAGTGAATATCCTCTGGCCCCAGAGCTCTGGTGCGGGTGTGGGCCAACAACACTCCCACTCCTAGGCCTGCAGAGTCCTCCCCATGCAAGCTCTGTGGGTTTGGGCTCAACATGGGAACCAGGCAGAGCAGGCAAGAGGCAGCACAAAGGAAGGACACTGTGCAGCATCCTTCCCCAGCACCCAATGGGGATGTCTCTGCTGGCCTCTGAGCAGCAGATCACACAAATGCCTGCTCCAGTTAGTCACTGAATGCCCCCCTACCCCCCAGGTGTTGGGGAGACCATTCGTCTCCTAAGGGAACTAATCTGCCAGGTTGCATTGCATGGTATGCTCAGGACGCACAACGCAGAGGCACTGGGCCTCTCGATCCCTGCAGAGCTGGAGACAGCCATAGGCTTCTGGCGCCACAGGCGCCGACTTTTCAAACTGCTGGGGTGTGCTCGCCCCCCGGCTCTAGTTTCACTATTTTGTTCATGCAAACTATGCCAGAACAGTCTGCATCTGCATTTTGAGCCTGGAAAAAATAGTTTCAGAGTATTGCACCTTGTACAACCAGATTTGCTCCTGCAACTGGGTTTTTAAAAATCTTGCCCAGTGTCTTGCTAATGACTATGGGCCAAATCCTGAAGAATTTACTTGGTCCTTAGTCAGGTAAAATTTCAATTGAGGAGACAATGGGAAGTTTGGGTGAGGAATATAGTAAAAACTAAGTAAGGGCTTCAAGATTTGGTGCAAGCTAATAGTTATGAAGTGTATGCAATCGTGACACAGCCGAACCAAAACTCTGGACTTAATCATCACACAATCTGTGGGGAAATTAAGATCCATGTCCAATGTTTGTAGGTCAGCCCATCTCTAGTATTCTGTATTTCTATTAAAATATTATAGGACACGTTCAAAAAACGTTGGCTGAGAGTGTTGCATCTCTTAGTGGCACAGCACAAACCTCGCAGCCCGGGGGAGAGGGCTTTAAGGTGCTTTAAGCAACATCTGTGCCCTCCCTATGTAGTAGTAGGATTTTATGTTTGCATTTTGTATAATATAGAATGAAGGATAAAGAATTTTGTGTCGCATGAATTAAATGTATTAATGTATTATTTGATCATATCCTGCCAGCCACCCTTTCTGAAAGCAGAAAGGAATGGCCTAGTGTGCCATTGGTAAAGATGCATCAGCCAGAATCTTGTGTCTGAAGCTGATTTCAAGGCAGTGACAGACCTTTAGGGTTACCACTTTTTTATAGATTTAGGATTTTGAAATAAGTAAAATAATGCAATGACTGTTTTCTTCTGCATTGCAAATTGATGTTCCTGTTCAAATGCTCTGTGTAAATCAATCCTGTTTTGTGTGTGAATGAGGAATGTGTGTGTTAAAAGATAAGTGTGAAGGCCATCACCGGACCAGATGTTCTAGGGAGGAATCAAGGACGGACAGGAGGCACCAGGAGATTGTAACACACCCTTATTGAAATGTCAGAGGAGGGCAGATTGACGACTCTAAAGATGAGACGGGCACCTATCAATAGGGACAAAATAGCTGTGATCAAAACCAGCCTGGGGTAACTCCCTGAGAGACTAATAAAAAAACAAAATAAAGAATGAGAAAAACAATTTAAAAAAAACAAGTACTCGTCAAACGATGATTGGTTACAGCATGAGAGTGCAAAACTCATTGGTCCCAATGAAGGAAAATCACTATATAAACAGGGTGCTTTGCCATGAAACTTCCCCGGAGCATCATGTCACGACCGACAGAACCCGGCTCCTCCCAACCCGTGATCAACCTAGCTGGCCATTAGATTGATCCAGACTCTGGACTGGTAACTATAACATCGACTGGCAGGACAGTGTGTGGGTGTATGATTGAATGCATATGCTAATTGTTGTGTTTCCAATAAATGCGGAATATTGCTTTTCCCCCAAAAAGATCCCGTGGGCTTCTTATAAGCATAACACCTATTCTGTGCAGCTCTAGAGGCCAGCGTAGCCCCATGTATAACTTATGCAGCACAAATTATGGGAACCTCCTTGGGCTGCCCAGTGGTTGATTGTGATGCTGATGATGATTCTCCCTCCCTTACAGTAGGGCTTTTTGGGAGGCCTCACTGGGCAGCACAGGGTTTGCTGCCACAGGACCATCCAGGGACACAGCGGGAGGAAGGATCCTGCCCCTCTATTTTCTTCACTACCAAAAAGATTTGAACTACTGATTGCTGTACCTGTTGGATACAAGATAAAAACCACTTGCTGTACTTTTGTCTAGTTTTATTCATAAAGACAAACCCACTGTGTATTATATTTTGTAATTAAACTATTTTTATAAATAGATCCTACAGGATTAAAAATACATTAATAAATAAAAGAAATAAAAATAAATCTCCTACCTGACTAGAAACAAAACGCAAGAAACTCTAGGACATGATGATGGAATCATATTCCACCACAACACAGAACCGATTGCCAAAAATAAGGGAAAGAATTCAACATGACTAATCACGTTGACAGACAGTAGAATTTAGGCACATAACTCCCATACACTATTATGACAATGTGTTCCAGTACAATAGATTGGGCTAATGTACCTCACTGATTTTCTAAAGCTTCTTCATTCATACTGCTCATGTTTTTCCATTGCTACTTCAAACCTTTCTATTAATCTCCCACTCCACTTGTGCATTTTTCGGTCTGGTCTGCAATGCAGGAGAACAAAGTATCTTCCTCTGAAGTGGTTTCTAACTTTAATCAGAAATGGAGGGGTCTGCATTCTTCTGTACCTTAGAAATTTTTTAAAATATATGGAGTAGAGATGTAAGTTGCCATCAAAATATTCCTGACCTAATGGCCTTTGGTTTGATTTTGGACCTACTTTGTGCCAATGTGAATAGTGCCATATCTGTTTCCTCTCTCTCAATCTCTTATACACACACTCAGAAATCTGTAATATCTTAAATCTGCCCCAATTGGGGAAAGACAGAATTATTTCGAGATTAACCAGGACTCCAGCACATATAGCCAAAGAGCTGTTGCCATTCCCACAAGCTTACTGATTTTAACCAATTGTTGTAAATCATTTACCTCAAGTGACTATATTCATACATTTTTTCCACTTAATAGAGTGCTATATCTATTTTAGCTCTCAATGGCAGACCTCATGGTATAAGTGAAAGTATGGTTCAGTTCTGCTTGCCCAATAAAGGCAAAGAAATATAGGTACTGAGGATTTTCTTGTGAAATTTGGCTACTAGCAAACACAGAGGGAAGGAAGGAGTGAAATGCCTGCCAATTTGCAGGATTAATGACCATAATGCTACCCAAAAATCAACGTTGAGAGATGTGTCTAGTACTCAGCAGTAAAGCCATTTTTGGAAGACCCACTTCAGGAAGGCAGTACTTCTGGGCAATATATTAAGGGCTTGATTTTCAACATAAGTGAAGCCCTAAGCCATGTGCGATTGCACATCTTCTTTATAACACTA